TTCAGCCTCTCTACCCCAAAGTGACCTCTCCCTCCACTGGCTGCCTGTGCAATGGATGTCTTGCTATCTGTGTTCACATATCCTCAGGTTATGAGCCATGAGAGGGCACCGTGTTTAGGTGTCCATTAGAGCTACAGATACAAAGACTTACTTCCCTTTTCTCTGAGTCTCCTCGGAACCTAAGAGTCCTAGGGTTTGGGAGACAGAGAAGAAGATGGGGTGGGGAGGGAATTTGGGGTTCCGGGTTCTGCATTTTGCCTTTGTCAACCTTCTGTAAGTCATTCAGCCTCACTGGCAGTTATTCTTTGTATGATGGAGGTAATTATAGCTACTGGTTGGAAAAATACTTTGATATCTTCAGATAAAAGAGGCTTTAAAAGGGCAGAGGATAATTATTATTAGCAGCTCAACGGTTCTCAGCTTTTTCCATATGCAGCTTCCTCCAGGGAAGCTAAATCCATCAAAATAAAACCAGTTTGAGAGAAAAGGTACCCTATGAAACTATTTCAACAAAGAAACGACTTCAAAAAGATGAGCCAGATGAAACATAAAAGTGAAATGAAAAATTAAAGCAACGACATGCTTCTAAAAAAAAAGTCTCTGCACTATTGTCAAGCATGAACTTAACATCACACACAAGTTGTGGTGTAATAATGGCATCTTGTGTTTGTATAATGTCTTTCCCCATAACCTTCTTTTTTGTGACATAAAATGATACTTATTAATTCTTCAAGATGCTAGCGGGCAGATGTTTAGGTGAGATCACTGAAGACTGATCCACTTCATAGATCAAGCCAGTAGAAAAGTGAGAATTAGAATCCAGTTTTCCCAACTGACATGACAGAAGCAAGGAACTGAAGGTTCTGCCTTCTCATGGTGTCTTTCAAAAATCTCTCTGTTGGAATCCCGTCAGCTACGAGGTACAGATGGAAGTTTTGGCATTGTTCTGACTTTTGTCTTACCATTTAGCAAGTATTAAAAAACAATTATTGATGGTCTTCTAGGCAGCTGATTCTTGCTAAGAGAATAAAAGATAGAGAATAAAAAAAAATCCAAGTATAATATCCAGCATCTAGCCACAAGCAGATCATGGTGTAGTTGAGGAGAAAAGATATACATACAAAGCAATTTGTGGACAAAATATTATTTTATACCTCAGTATTAAATGCTATTTAATCTGAAGAGCTTTTCATGATTATGCTAGTGGTAAGTAATCCCCCCCTTTTTTTTAAACGTGTGTAGCACTCCCAGAAATGTGTTTCCTACCACATTCCTAAGAGGCATATATTATGTCATGCCTTTTCTCCAGGATCAGAGTTCAAGCTCATTGAGAGCTTCTGCCTTATTTCATATGAAATTTCATTCCCTGCTTTGCATTGTCCAGGACACAACGTGAGGGCTCAACAATGTTTGTTGAATGACGTATTGATATAATAATTTTTTAATATAGACAATTAACGCTATCACAAGGACAATATGTGCAGCAAAATTGTCGAGCATGTTTTCATCCATAATTAAAATCCATTAGGCTCAAAACAATTAGGAAATCATCACTCTGGTCCTGATATTCTTTTGGTGCTTTGATAGCATTTGCAAATTAATTAAAGTTGAAAAGTTCTTTACCGTTACTGTGCTATTCTTCAACACCATTGGAACTTAACTTTGTTTTACTTTCCTCAGGAGAGAGATGCTATAAAAAATAAAAAAGAAAGAAAAGTGAGGAACTTACGTGCTCAGTGTATCTTTAAGATTTCCTTGTCATTGTTGCAGCCCCCCTCCACCATACCTGAGCAGGGGTGAGGGGAAAGAGGGCAGACTGAAAGACAACAGAACCTAGGAGTTCCGGGCTGTATTTGGAAGGACAGATAGTATATGGATTAATTTCCTCCCCCAGTAGCATGTGAACAGAAAAGGCTGCCTGCCTCTGCACTCCTGGAATAAGACGAGTTAGCTGTCTGGGAAAGAATTACAAGATAACCTTTCCACCTCTCTGAAGGAGATGAGGAGAAGTAATTGGGTGAGAGCTACCTTCCTTTCTTCATTGCTTCCCTCTAATACTTTGTCCTTTGTGAAAAAATAGCACCTAATTTGCATGAATGTCTGATAATCATGTGTTTATGCAAAATGTTCCAAAATTAAACCAAGTTTTCCTTTCATTCATTGGGTGTAAAATAATTCATATTTACATATGAAATACTGACCCAATCAGAGAGTATATACATGCACAGTGTAAGTATGCAATTCCCTTCCCTCGGAGATGCTCTCAGTCTTAGAAACAATGACTTAACAGGACACATAGGACTTTCCCAGAGAACAAAAATAGTCACAAAACTTATTTTTAAATAGATCAGTATGTTACTTACATTATGCATAAGCTGAGCACCCATTTTGCCATTTCACTTATCTCACCCCCTTCTTCCATTCTTCTGAGAGGGGAAGAAAAGAAGAGGAAAAGAAGTAAGGATTTTCACTTCTGGGGTGAAGTTCTAGGTTTATTCCATCTCTCCAGCATCATGACCTTTGCAGGCAACACTCCTCATTGTTTCCTGAACTGCATGGCATAACTTCTCAAGAGAAGCCATGATGTCCAGGCCACTCAGGGTCACCCAAGGTCGGCTCCTGTTCCCACTGTAGGGAGTGATCCACTAGAGCTGGCTTTGCTCAAAAATAGCCTGTGTCCATGCGGTAGAATTAGCTTGATATCACCGAGCTCCAAACTCGGAGCCAGAGTCCTGCTTTCAGAGGGAAAGGACTCCAAGCCCTTTAACATTGCTGTTATGCAAGTTTTTAATTAGTCATGAGGGACTGATAGCCAGGGCCCTGAGACAGTATCATGATGACCAGGGCGGGTGCCTCAGGAGGATGCCAAAGGGACGAAGGCTCCACCTTTGAGAGCATATTTTCTTTCTCCTAACCCCGAAGGGAGTCCAAGAAACAGGATCTTGGATTTCTACTGGTACAGGTTCATTAACCCAAATCCCCCCAATTCGCCACAATTTGTTATGGCATTTCCACCTTCCTCATTTTCCAAAAAGCTGACCAACTTAATCCAAGGAATGACAAATGTGATTGATAGGCCAAACCGCCATTAGACAGATGGACTTTATATTTTGAGCCTTCTCTGTCACTTGAGTACATGCATCAAAATTGGGTAGATGAAATTATAACTGTAGAAGAGAGAAAATTCAGTAGACTATGTATAGAATGCTTATTTTTCTCCTGAATCTGTTCTCAGTAAAAGTCTTATTTTCAGAAAGACTTTTGGCTAAACTATTAGTGTGCCATAAATAATGATTTGTACATCTTGCCTAATAAGTCACTTCTCTGGCTCACAGCTAAGTATTAGTATCCCTTTTGCTTTTACAGATAGACAAAATGAAAGCCATAGATTAAATTAATGGAAGGAAAGTGAACTACAAACCATGGCTACTTCTGCTTTGGCAAAGTGAAAAGTTTATTGCAAGTTTACAGTGCCAAGGGTAGCCTTCAGGATGACTTTTTCTCAGCTCCGGGCCCTGGGAGTAATTGCAAAGTGGGTGGCAATGATTTTTTTGGCATCTTCCCACTTCATACCCAGTGCCGTCTTCCACCTACTTTTCTGAAATTGAGTATTTAGTGGCCCTATCAAAGCTTATGCTTTTCCAAACTCCCTCCTGAGTTATCCTTTTCATTTCTACTCTGCACTGAAGGGTCCCAGAGTCCCTGGTTGTTATAGACTCACATACATGCATGCACATACACACAATATCAGAAGAACGTTTTCTTATTATGGACTCACGATCATTCACACTGAGATATGAATGACTTACATGCTTATTAATTTTCATAGAAGTTTGTTAATGAGAATGAAACTTTAGATGGATGTGATTATGCTAGGGAGACAGTCTTTAACTTCCTTGTCCCTTTGTTTATGCCCTAATGTCCACGTGCCCAACTCGCATCTTCCAAGCAACACTGAGAACAGTCAGTTGGCAATAGGTACTCCACTTATGAATGATTTCTTAAGAATCTAGACCTTGACGCAGACACTCTGCAGACCTCAGGCTCCTGAGAACAATCTCCTGTCCTACAGTCTGATGAAGGGCTGAAAATCTAACTGCCAGCCCCTTAACTCATGACAGACGATACCGTACAGGATGGTAGAAGAACAGCCTTCAGGTTCAACTTCTGGTGTATGAATTCTGGCCCCGCCACTTTGTAGCTGTGTGACCCTAGTCAATGTACTTCACCTCTTTATAAAATGGGGAGGCTAATAGCTATTACCTCATCAGCTGATTTTAAGAATTCATTGATATAATAAACATACAGTACAGTCCCTGGCATAAATTAAGTGCTCAGTCAATGTTAGCTATTCCTATTAGAGCAGGTACAGTCATTATTAGACACTGTAACACCATCTAACAGAAAATCCCCAGGCGGGCAGCTTCAGGGCATACCTGTGGTCACGTCCCTCTCTGGGCATCTTGGGTTTTAGTGCTTCATCTGTTTTTTTGTCTTTAGTTACTTATTTGGGGATGTGGTGCCTCAGCACTGTGCTAGGACCCAGAAACTGCACTGAGCTATACAAATGTGGCTTCCATGCTGATGAAGCTGTCAGTGCTGAAAGAATAACATGGGGAACTGATTACAAAATCAATTTTAATGACGATAATCCCTGTGCAAAAAACAGATGCTATGAAAGCAGGCAAGGTTTGGGGCGGGAGGCTAAGTACCAGGATCAGGAAAGAATTCGTCTTAAAGGATGAGTAAGAATTAGATAGTCCAGAGTTGCAGGTAAGAGAGCAGAAAACAAGTAAATGGAAAAATGATGTTATGGACTGACTATTTGTGTTCCCTCCCCCAGGTCATGTTGAAGCCCTAAGCCTCAATATGATGGTATTTGGAGGTAGGGCCCTGGAGAGGTACTTAGGATTAGGTGAGTTCATGAGAGTGAAGCCCTGGTGATGGGATTCATGTCCTTATAAGAAGAGAAAGAGAAACCTGAAGTGTCTATCCTACAGGACACAGCACAAAGGCAGCCACCTACCTGCCAGGAAGAGAGCCCCTTCGCCTGGAACTGAATGGCTGACACCTTGCTCTTGGACTTCCCAGGCTCCAAAATTGTGAGAAATAAATATCTGTTGTTTAAGCCTCCTGGTCTATGCTATTGTTGTTATGGCAGCCTGAGAAGACTAGGACATGGTGGAAGGTTGCATTTGAGGAGGTGCCAGGGAGACAGTATGGCTGGGGAAGAGGAGGGTGGTGGCGGTGGTTGGGAAGCAGGAAGTGAGTGGTGCAGAATTAGGCTGCAGTCAGGGCAGGGTCTGGATCAATCAGTTGTTCTCAATCAGGGGCAGATATTTGGCAGTGTTTGGTGACATTTTTGGTTGTCACATCTGGGGATAGGGTGTTCTACTTGGTAGAGGCCAAGAATGCTGCTAAACATCCTACAAGGCAGAGAACAGCATCCCCCCAAAAGGATTTTTTCAGCTAAAAATGCCAATAGAGCCAAGGTTGAGAAACCTTGGGCTAGAATAATCATCATGTAGGATCTTGAAGGCAGGTTAAAAGCATTGGGCTTTATGGTGAGAATGAGGGGAACCCGTTAGAGGGCTGCCAGAAAAGGTTTGACGTGGTCATATTTCTGTCTTAAAAACCATTTCTGGCTGCTGTTGAGGAAGAGCAGCTGATAGATCTTTGCAAAAGTCAGATGAGAGATGATGGTGGTTTGGACTTTGCTTGCCTTAAAACATACGTCCCCACATTTCCTCAACTTTGAACAGGGGAGTGAATGAACTGGATGTGGAGAAGCAGAGAAAATAATTGGACTCTAGAGAAAGGGAGATGTGCTCTTCTTCAGGATTTTCTGAGTCTCATAAAAACACCTCCTCTTTTCCTTCCTAGGATACAGGAGTCACTGCTGACCGCCCTGGATGGTGGTTACCACACAGGTCTCAACACCTCTCCACCTCCTCCAGCTGCTTTCCTACTTCTACTCTGCACTTTCTACTGAGAATTGTCTCTTGTGGGCTCCTCTGCCCAGTTGGACTCACTCTAGAAACAGATGTATGCTGATTACTGCTCCGTGGATTCCCAGAGTCTTCCCTGGCCCAGCACGAAATCTTATGTCTATCAGTCGTGTCAAATGCTTTGAAAATAGAACATCTGTCTCCTACTTCAAAAGTGCATTTCTAACAAATTCCACAAAACAGCAGTCTGTCATGCCTGATTCCGCCAGACACACGGCATCAATTTCTAAGATTATCCAGATTTTATTTTAACTGATGCTTTTCAATAAAAAAAATCCATCATGGATCTTTCTATCTAACAGCTATCCTAAACCCTTTCTGAAAAGAGGCAAGGTGTTAACACAGCTAATTTGGAATTAAATTCTACACTTGGAAGATTTTCCACTACCTAAATTCGTAAGTCAGAAGAAATCCTGGCTGGGTAGTGATAAATAGGGTTGCATACATATGAGTCATAGTCTTACTCAACGGGAACAGAGTGAAGAGTCCGTTGCTCATATATGGCGGAATCTAGAGTCAGATGGCCCAAGCTGCACTCATGAGCCAGATATATCCTAGACCAGGGACCCTTGCACTGGGGGCTAGGAATATCTGGAGAGTAAATGTGTGAATCAGTCAGATGTAAGAAACAGGAAGTGCTTGAATCTACTGGGGACCAGAGTGGCTATGCCCACCTAAAGGTGTTCCAATTAAAAAAGAAAAATTAAGCCAGATGCTACCAGACAAAACATGTGTACAAGCATCATTTGGCCAATAACTGCCAGTTTGCAAATTCTGATCAAAGGGAAAATAAAATAAAAACCCTAAAGACCTCCACTGGGAACTTCAAATCTAATTAAAGAGAAAATATTGCTGAAATATTGAAAGACCAAAAAAAAAATATGCACTGTTGATGTATAGTGGATGTTTAAAAAAAATCCTGTCTTCTTTCTTTTGAGGTTGCATTATTTATAGTGATCATATAAATAAAGTGATTTTTCTCACTCTCTTTGTCTCACCATCTTTTCACCACCAGTCTCTTTCCTCCACTCACTCAAAACATCACCATAATATTAGGAGCATGAGGTCAATCAGAGGAAGCAAGGAAATTCACAATCATTGCTGAACCACTGTCCTTAATGTGTCCTGCTGCATCTGTAAGCCCACGAAAGTAGGTCATCAAACTCTGAAGGGACATATTAACTGTAATGCCTGGTGCATAATAGAGCACATTAAAGACAGACTTTCAGCCTTAACTCTTAATCTGTTTTCCAGCTTTGGTAGATTTAAAACTCTGATATTCCAAGCACAACGTGACGCTTCCCTGGGCTACAGCTGTGCATTGCTTTCTATCTTGGGAGGAGTTGTTTTTGCACAGGTCTAAGGAAATGCAACACAAGGGAAATACCATTCTAACAAATTTCAGGGGAGGGGGGAGAAGTACGCTTATTTTTGCTGCAACAGAATTTTGCTTAAGTAGCAATATTGTATAGTTAATCAAACAGATACATAAAAGTGAAATTTTTAATTTAGTCTTTTAACATTATTATATGGTGCCATTCATTCCTTAAGAACCCAAAGACCTTTGCACATATTAGGCACCATCTTTATTCCAAAGTTTACTTTTTGGGACTATCCAGACCACTCTCACATTTTCTCAACTTTGCTCTTGAGACAGGTGGAGATAAAAAGAGAGAATCAAAATGGAGAGAAGGTGCCGGAGTTTTTGGTGGTAACAGATGGCTTTTGCAATGGCTAAAAGATGATAAAAGTATATGTGTTGTGGCTCCTTTGCGTACTTCATAGAAACTTTCTGTAAGATTCAGATCCACTGAACCCTTCCTGGGTTCCCTAAATTCTACTTTCAACAAATGTTGATGAAGGCCAAACGTTGTTCTAAGCACTGTAAATGGGCTGGCGGCTGAGACAGACAAGGCCCCTATTCTCACGGAGCTGAACTAATAGATAGGGAGACGGTTGATAAACAAACAGACTGGGGAAACGGCACACATACTGTACAGAGGATCGACTGGAAGCCTGGATGACTCCTTTAGATTATACGGTCAGAGGAGATGACTCACAGATTGAGGCAAGAGTGACAAAGAGGTGTCAGCCATGTAAAGATTCCAGGGAAAGGCATTCCAGGGACTGGGAACAGCCAATGGAAAGACCCCAAGGCAGGTGCACTTGTTTCCGATGGTTGCTGTCACAAAATACCACAAATTTAGGGGCTTATAACCACACAGATTGCTGCCTTATAGTTCTAGAGGTCAGAAGTCCAACATGGGTTTCACTGGGCTAAGATTAAGGTGCTGTCAGGCAGCTTCCCTTTCAGAAACTGTAGGGGAGAATTTGTTTTTTTGCCTTTCCCATCTTCTAGAAGACGCTGACATTCCTTGGCTCATGGCCCCTCCTCTATCTTCAAAACCAGCCAGGGAACGTCTTTAATTAAATCTCTCTGAATCTGACTCTCCTGACTCCCTCTTTCACTTATAAGAACCCTTGCTACTAAACATTTGGTCCATCTAGATAACTCTGGTTAATCTCCCCATCTAAAATCCTTAAATGAATCACATCAACAAAGTTTCTTTCACCAGGTGAGGTAGCGTTTTCACAGATTCTGAAGGTGTGGGCATCTCGGAGGAGCCATGGTGGAGATGAGCGCTTCTGTGTTGTAGGAACAGAAAGAAGCAGTGTAGTAGGACTGTAGTCATGAAATAGAAAATGACAGGGCGAGGACCAGACCTGACGTCCCAGTCGCAGTTACAGATGACATCACCGCATTCACTGTCTCCCCGGACCTCCGACAGACCTGGTGCTGCCCCTGCCACGGGAGCTCCGGACCTTCAGGCTTTAGGGCCTCCGATCTCCCTTGCTTGATGGTAAAGCAAGATTAGAACTCCTTAGTTCAGTTCTCTAGCTGTAAATACTACAAAACTTTAGCCCTTATTATATCATGTCATACTTTGCTTCATAAGATCACAGAATTTCAGACCTCAAGAAAATTTGAAAGATTGCCTCATTGGCATCTCAAGTTTTATGAAAAAGGACATCGAGATCAATAGAAGGTGAACGTCCTTCCGAAAAAGATGGACCCGAGACCTGAAGTTGACTGTGCAGCGTCTCCATCCGTTTCTCTGGCGTGTGGTTACATTTTAGGTGTGGATTACCTGTCCTAATTGCAACTGCTCCTGCGGTGCAGGGTGTTGTCCTGGGCTGACTGCTCCCTGGGCCAAGCACGCACTGCTTTGCATGCATAGAACAGTAGGTGGTGAATAATACTTGTTGCGGGAAAGGTTGAACCAGTCCATTGTCTTTTTTTTTTCCGCCCAGAACAGCTATGGTGACACAGACATCTCCTGATTTACAGGATGCCTCTAGACATGCAACATTTTCATCATCTGCAAGAATCTTTAAATGGATATCATGCAAACGGACCATGTGAAGATGTACTTGACACTTCCCTAACTACTTAACATTCTTGGGTGAGGGTACTGACCAAAACTTGCTACCTAAACTTTAAATCATTTAGAATCTATTAGCAATTCATCTCAATTTATTTTGAGGATTCTCTTTTCTCTGCAGTAAAGTTTTTACATAATTAAACAAAATAGTTCAAAGAAGTTTGAGACTTCCCAATCCTCCCTATCAACTATCCCCCTCCAAATATGACTTGTGACAGAAGATATGCCGACAGAACAGTTAGTAAAGGACTTGAGGAAAGTCAAAACGTGAAAGAGAGGAAACAGTCCTAATGATCAGCAGGAACTTGGTCATATAGATTAGAAAGTTGATTGACACCAGAGGTAAGTTTTGCACTTTAGTTTTTGACTCTGAGCTTTGTAGATAATGTAATAACTACTGGCAACTTCCAAACTTGCTCCTAAAAATAAACTATTGAAGTAACTTCTGAAAAATGCAGGAAATGGTGAGACAAATTGATTCATACAAAGAGGAACAAAAGCATTTCTTAGAGCCTGTACTGGGTGAGAAAGCTGGTTGGGGCAGGTCCCAGAGGCAGAGCTGGGTGTGTCTGGGTGTGGCTCAAACCTGTGCAGTTCAGGGAAGAAGGTTTACTAATCTCTGAGAAAGTAAGTGAAGACTGATCCACATTCTGGCCTTGACATATCACTGTCCTTTAACTTTCCTCAAGATCTCCAGGGCGGAAGTAAAAATATCTCTAGATTCTTCTTTAAACTGTGTAATGTAGTCATCACTTCAAACTGTTCACCTATATCTTACCAAAGATAATTTATAACGTTGCATGTGCTGTGTAAATCAGTACATTGAACCAAAAGCAAACTGCAGGTTATTTATATAGAGGGCCAGCTCTCAGAACCTTCGGTCGATTTATTTCATTTCAGTGAAGTTAAGAGGAAAACACACACAGGGAGCAATTTTTATGTTAATTATAAGGGTTTTTGCTTTGTTGAAAAGAGTGTGTTTCCAAGTTACTTTAATTCTGAGTTTAGAAAGTTCTTAGAATATGTGAATCCATATAGCAGGTATTTTCAAAAATAGTTTGTTAGAGCCATTATATTGCAATGTTACATTTTCTATATTAACTATATGATAGAATTTTAACATTTCTTTTTTTTTTGAAACTTCTTTCAGGTTTAAGAATTTTTTATTGATGTGTAGTCAGTTTACAATGTTGTGTTAATTTCTGGTGTACAGCATAGTGATTCAGTTAACTTATTTCAGATTAAGAGCTTTTCACGTGCTGACTGTGACAATATTGTAAAATATGGTCCTAGATCCTAAGAAGCTCAATAAGTACAAACTCCCTGAACAGGTGAAAATTCAGCAAATACTTACTGCTCATTTATTGAAGGCTCATCCTCAAGAGACCCATAAGATTTTGATTTTGCCTTTGCATTTTAGGACTTTAAGATCAGGCTGGTGCCATAAAAAATAGTATATTGTCAAGTGTGAAATATATGAAGAAAATAAATCTATAGATTTGAACCAGGAGTGAAAAAAAAGGTTTCAAAGAGAACTTGAGAACTTGAGTATTGAGTTGATTGATGAGCAAGATTTAGAAGATGAGAAGGGTGGAGAAGACATGCAGTAATAAACATAATGATGGCATAGTAACAGATCATTGAGTGCCTCCTGCATGCCAGCTCGAAGGCCAAGTCCTTTATGTATATTTCTAAGCCCAACATTACGTTACATTAAATTTGCAAAGAATAGCCCCATTGTAAAGATAAAGCTCTCACAGCTCAAAAATTTCACTGCTAGTTAATGACAGAACCAGGACCCAAACACGGATCTAGCCACTCCAAAAACGACATTTTCCACCACATAAGAGCATGAGCGCAGACATAAAGAGATTGTGATGAGATGGCTTGAGGAGAGGCTACACGACGCATAAAAACAGGCAGTAAATTTGGATGGGTCACACGCAGCTAAATTGTGGAGGGATTTGAATGCCCAGATGAAAATTTAGACAGGCTCGCAACAGAGTAGCGAATAACTCTTGGTTCTTGGCTGAATTCAGGTAAACACTACACGTTCTATGCAGATTTGAGGCTCAGTTTTCTGCCCCTGGGTAGAAATATACACACAGATTCTTTTAGTGTAGCATTGGCTGCTACATAGGATATGCTTAATAAAAGGCAAATTTCCTTTTTGCCCCTGGGGACTCTGGCGGGCTTCTCCTTTCTTCCCCTCCCTTTAGTGGCTTCTACAGAGTAGGTAGGTCAAGGGTCCAGCTCTTCTCTTCACTCTCTTCTCTCCATCAGAACAACAACCCCAAACTCATATTTTTGTTGCTTTCTTTGCATCCTTATTGAGTATAACAGATGGAGCCTGAACCAAGGGACCATCGCTGCAGCAGAGTGGACGGATGGATCTCAGGGAAGGCACCGCCTATCAGGAATGAATGGAAAACTTACACC